AATGCCAGCATGGAAAGAATAACGTAAAGATAGATTGCCTGTTTTGCAGACGAGGGAAATGAATAAAATGCTTGTAACTAGGTGAAGAACAAGCATTTGCATATTGTTGGATGGGTGATCATATCTATGGACACTAGACATGCTTTCTTTACACTAGTGTCTTTTCTCATGATCAAATGCAAATGTAATTGAGTGCACAAATTGGCAAGAAACTACAAGAACTGAGTCAGCAGAAGAGTATCTGATTCAAGGCGAAAATTGCACATTGATTGGATCAAAATTGGAGGAGCAAGCAACCGGCAGCAGCAACTTAAGGGACAATTGCAAATTCATGCACACAGAATGAATCAGCATAAGAATTTTCACAACAATTATACTCCTTAAAGAACAAGAAGTATTCTAGTAACTCTCTATACTTAAAGAACTAAGGATAGGATGAATTGGTGAGGCCTTCGACAGCCATGATCATCATATAACTTTGCAAGCAGCAAATGCTCTACTACTACTATTCCGGCGAACCAACCTACCTGATTCAGCTTCTCCAACAGAGTGTATCAGCGTTGCGTTGGTATCTCCGGCGGTGGGAGGGGGATGACGTGGCAGCTGCTCAGCCAGGACGGAGGAGCTGGGAGGTCTGTCTGGTGAGTGAAGTGAATGACGGTGGAGGAGAACGAAAGACGGTCACTCAGCACAGGATGACGATAAAAAAAAATAAAAATAAAAAAAAAGTTGGGGCCCAGACTCTTTTGTTCAAGTGGGCAGCGGTTTTTTTTTTTTTTTTTAAGCGAGGGGGGGTGAGGGGTGGGGGCCATATTGTGGTAGTATTTGTATTTTTTTTTTTTTTGACAAATTGGGTTGGATAATTGAAATTAATGGCCACCAACATTTGTGAATATTGAGAGTTTTTCAATTACTTTGTGACAATTTTTATTCTGGAGTTCTTTTGTAGGGATCATGGCTAGTACACATATACTTTCTTGGTATTTTTATTTTGGGTTATTATCACTTTATCATCTTAATGTTACTTTTTAGTCACTTTATCTTCAAAACTAAAGGTCAAACTTAACGAAATTTTTTAATTAAAATGAAAAGACATGTTTAGCCCTTAAAATTATTATTAATTTACCCCCATAAACTATAACATCATTATCAATTTACCACTTATAGTTATTTTTTAGACAATTTATCCTACCATTAAACCAAAGAAGCAACTTAAAGAATTTTGAAAAAAAAGTACCCTCATTTTTATATAATAAAAATAATAAAAAATTTAGAGTGACTCTTCTCCATTTTAGCACTCCTGTCAAGAAAAAAGTCAAAGTGTTAATCTTTTTTTCTTGGTAATCTTATTAGCATTGAAAAAAAAATAGAAACATGGAGAGGGGGAGGGGGGAGAGGGAGAGAGAAAGAGCTCAATTCTTTTTTTTTTTTTAATACAAATAAGAAAGAATTAAATACTTTTATTATTTTAAAATTATTTCACTTTTTTGTTTACCATTAAATTTCAATCTTAATCTCGACAATTTTAAAGTAATATAATAATGTTACATTTTTCTTTATTTTCTTTCTTTGCAAAATCTAATTTTCTGTCTTCTTCTTTCCTATCTCCTTTTTTTCTAGTATTAATAAGTGTAAAAAAAGAAATTTGAAAAAATCCTTTTATTTTTATGTTTTTGGATCCCTTAAAGTGAAAAAAAAGAAAAATAACCGTCCCAACTTTTTATTTTAAATTATATATAAAAAGGGTAAAAAATTTAAAAAATTTTGACCATACTAGTTAGATTAAAGATGAGATAAAATGCTTAAAAATAATGTTAAAAATTAAAGCGATTGTATCACTATAATTTCAAGGGATAAAGTGATAATAATAATATGATAATGCTATAGAATAAAGGGGTATTTTTGTCCAAAATTTCTTAACATGTTGAGTTGAGTTACTTATAAGGGTGAAGTGACTAAAAGATACGTTAAGGGGTAAACTGATAGTAGTGATATAATTTAAGGGGATAAAGTGATAATAACCCTTTTTTTTATGAAATAATTTACTTAATCCCATGATGTCGGTGAATTTCTAGGAATATTGTCAAAATTAAAAATATTCAGAAAATTGGTATTGTGTGGGGAGTGTTGCTGGATAAGGGGTCGTCGCAATTGAGATGTGAGGCTATTAATAAAAAGATTTTTAATTTTTATTTATTTTAGTTTCATTTATTTAAAAAAAAAAAAAACGCTTCACCGCTCATCGCCAATGAATTTTCAATCAAAGGTTTTGTCTTTATTTGCCGCCGCTCATCTTGTTTTTTTTTTTTTTGGTCCTTTTTCCGAAGCACTCTTCCTAATACATGTACTAAAAGGCAGCGCGACCATATTTGCCCATGTCCATTATTGGTACGTTGTCATGTACTAGAACTATAGGGCATTAATTGTGCACGAGTGCTGAAGCCATGCATGCTGTGACATGCAAATACACGTAAAAGGGGAATAGGTTTGTCCAACTGTATAAAAAGGAATTTTTCTTGATAAGATTTAACAACTTGATAGTTATGGTGGTGAATAAGGAGAGACATTTCTTTTTCTTTTTTGTTTCCAAAGATAATATTAAATGCTTTTCTTTTTCTTCTAACAAAATTATTAAATAAACTAACCTTATCAATGATATATCGTTTCTTTACAAAGTGTTTGGATAGCACTACTATTATCTCCAATAATATTTCGCTTGCATCATAAACACATTTCTCAATCTACCTTTTTATATTCCCAACCGCCTTTTTATCTCACATACATTACATCACAAAAAGTGCTACAGTAATTATTCCAAATAATATTTCAAATAATACCCTATCCAAATAAATTTCTTTCCAATCCATCCCTCAAATTGTAATATTGCTTTCCTGAATCGTCGTCTTAATCAATCAGCTATCCTCAAAAATTTAGGAGAAATATAAGATGAAAGAAGAAGATGAGGTCCACCAGAAAGAGAAAAATCTAAGAAAAATTTGTGAAAACGATGAAGAAGAAGATGAGAACCACACCAGAAAGAGAAAGAAAGAGAAAGCTCGTGAAGGAATTGAGTTTTCTCAAGTGAATATACAAAGAAGAGAGAAAAGTTGAGCTTGTCCGTGAAGATGAGGCAGAATAGTTATTGTCGGCAAACAAATAATTGTAGTACTGCTTTGATTACAAATTGTTTTTTTGACTAAATACTGAACTTTGATTAATTTAGTTTTTTAAAAAAAATTAGTGCATGGCCGTTAGCATTTTTTATAAAGAAATAATAAGAGCGTCAATGACAACCATTGAATATGTTGGGTAGGCGGTATTGACGGTGGGAAAACTATTGCCGCAATCGAGATTTGCAGTTTTATTTTAAAAATATTCTTTTGCAGTTTAAAAAATTTAATTTTTGCACAAATCAATCAATAATTGCCTTCTCACTTTAAAAGAAAATATTTTGGCCGACAATCTGCGTCCGTTGATCACATTGTGAAAAAAAATAAAAAATTTTGATTGCAGCGTCAATTTAAAAAAAAAATTTTTGACGCCGCAAATAGGAAAAGTCAAAAAGCTAACGGCATAGCGTCAGCTTTTTAAACTATATAAAAAAATGAATGCCTCCTATCCTAATTTGTCCGTATGAGGCAAATAATTTGCGGCCTCAAGTAGGAAAAGTCAAAAAACTGACGCTATGCCGTCAGCTTTTTAAACTATAAAAAAAATGAATGCCTCCTGTCCTAATTTGTCCATAGTAGCCATTTGCCTCAGCTTTTTAAACTATTAAAAAAAAAAATTGAATTGTATTAGCTGTAATCCTGCCATCCTGTCAAATCGTTGTCAGCCTTGTTGGTGTGGATAAGGCTGCAAACGAGCCGAGTCGAGTCGAGTTTTGGGCTAATCGAGCCGAATCTTGACTAAATTTTACCAAACTCGAACTCGAGTTCGAACTCGACGAGCCAGCAAATTTAAAGCTCGAGCTCGAGCTCGAAAAAAATAAAAAATAATTATTTTATTTTTTAAAAAATAAATAAAATACTATTTTTTTCTTAATAAATAATAAAATATTAAGGATATATATGTAATTTTACTATTAAAATAAGAAAATAAATATATATACTTAAAATAAAAAAAAATAAAAATATATTATATATATATATATATATATATACACTCGGCTCGCGAGCTAACGAGTTTAATATTTTGAACTCGAGTTCGAGCTCGATTTCAACTCGAGCCAGCTTGAGCTCGATATTGATCGAGCTCGACTCGAGCGGCTCGATTCGTTTGCAGCCTTAAGTGTGGGCAAGCCTTTCGCCGCTCATCTGATGAGGGCGAAAGCTTGGGGGAAAAAAAATTCAGAGAAATTATACAAAACTATAGCAACCAAAATTAAATACAAATTAATTCTAATTTTATTGATAGCCGCTTACCTAAAATGCGGTGACCCTTAAATCAGAACCCCCTCCCGAATATCCCCAATTTTCTAAAATTTTTCAATTTTGACAATATTCTTAGAAATTCGCCCAAGATGTCTCATATCAAGGTTTTGGAATGGTGAGGCATTTTTCTTATAGTAGTTCAAGTTTTGGTATGGTGGAATGGAAGGAAGCATTTTATCTTTTACTAATTCAGTCTCATTCCAAATCCCCGAGTTTTATTTATGTTTCCCAATAATGAAAGTATTAGTCCCAATAATGAAGCCCTTTTACAGTGAAAAGTGAAAACCAATTTCATCTTTTGAAATCGCCAGATATTCCATGCTTTGGAGTTGTGCTTCTTCTTCTAGTTCTAGATATAAAATTTAAAAAAAAAAAAAAAAAAAGAGAGAGAAGAAGGGTAGCAAATAAAGTTTCAGTCTATTTCAGGTCATATTCATGTCATCTTGTTTCAACTATTGCATTGAGCGTTAACATATTTGGCAACTATATATATATCTTCCTTGTAGAATCCAGAAGTTTCAAGTTTATAGCTTCTCTTTCAGCAAACTTCCATCAGGGCCAAAGCAATTTGCATGAACATATAGGAATTTCCACCGTATATCCAAAATCTTCATCAAGTGAACTAAATATAGTTGGATGAACATCACAAAATATTTCATACACAACAGGCTGAATGAGCAGTCAAACAGACATAGCATCCTCTCACATCAATGACATCATTGGAAATGAGAAATCCTACGAATCACAGACAAACTGGATGGCTTTCTTGTTTATTCTGGCTTCCGACATGTTATAATTGCGAATTTAATTAAACCTTTCTTATATCCTTTCATCATTAATGGCATAACCATTGCTCCTTTTATGGTCTTCCATCCTGGTGAATGAATAGGAAATGGAAACACAAGGAAAAGAATCTGATTATTTCACCAGAAATATCAGGAATTTGCAACTTATGCTAAAAAATGAAGCTTGTCTTACCACTCAGTATCAGTGATGTTATCCCCTTCCATGTCAATGCCGATCTTATTACTGCTGGCCAAAATGGTGCAACATATTCAGACCAATCTGCAGCCTTGATATCCTGACATTTCAGTCTCAAATTAGTTTCACTTCCACCGAGAAACAAATGCAGTGAATATCTATCTAGCCCCGATCTCCATGTCCGGCAGCTATATGCTATGAGATCTCTATAACGGTGTAATCCAACATGGCAAGTTGCGGATGATTAAGTTATTACCTGAAGAGAGAGGGGCTGCAACAACTTCACATAATCATCTGTGGAACACCATGTTGGAAGATAATATGCATCACATATCTTGTCTAGCAGCTTTTTCTCATCTGGATTTAGTGACTGTTCAGAGGAGGAAAGATTCCTATGGCACCATGTAACAATGATTATCCTTGCACCAGGGGCCGCAACCCGAGCTAACTCGTTAACAAACTACAAGTTCAAAAATAAAGAAAAGGATAACATGAAAATACAAAACAAATATACAGTAATGGGTACAAAGAAAATAATTAAAGCCAACATAAGTGCAAAATAAAATTCTCAAACCTTTGCCTTCTCTGGCATGTGTTCTCCACTCTCCATAGACCACACCAAATCAAATTTCCCATCTGGAAATGGTTGATTTAAGGCATCTGCAACTTCAAAGGAAACCTGCTGTGGTTCAGTGGTTATAGAACAAAGAAAGAAATAGTGATACATCTCGTGGTTTTGATTTTCTCATCTCCTTTTTATTTCAAGTGTGTGGAAGCGGTGGCTTCCTGGGCTGTGGTGTTCCACAGGAAAATGAACCCCATTTCTATTTCTTTCACTAAGATCCTTCTAAGGCGACAAGTCTATGTAATTATTCTCTGCTGGGATGTGTAATGACTGTGCTTCAGGTTTTGAAGGTACACGAGGTACTTTTGCTGGCAGTAGTTATCTTATCATGTCAAAGGTGGCAGGAAAAGAATCTGCAACTTTTATCCTTTCAATATTCAATACCTATTTTGGCAAGGTTCAAGAAGGTGAAAGCGCACAGAGGAACAATTTCACCAAGTTGTGGCAAAGCCTATACAACTGGTAATCAGATTATCAAACTGCACTTTTAGATGCAACATCATCTCTTTTCTTTTTCACAATACCATCCTAATTTTTTAACTGAATTATGGCCAAATTTTTAGCCACATTGTAATATCAGGAGATAAAAAAATGGATCAGAAAAGTACTGCTAGCATATTCTACACAAAAGTTTTGTGAAAATTGGTTCACTAAGGTCCCACTGCAAATTACTTTTGTATGGTTATGACTTACTTTAAAATGCGTAACAAGGACATTCATTTCATACCTTGTTTTCTAATCCTTGTGCAGCAGCAAGAGCTCGAGCTCTTTCTGCTTGCACAGGGCTTAGGGTGATACCCGTACATTCAGTACCATATTTCCTTGCTAGGTACTGAGAACTGCCACCTATACCACATCCAACATCAACAATGCTTTTTGGTTTCTTCATTGGATCCTCTAGAAATTGATGACAAAAAAGTAGTGCATGTCAACTCCCAAATAAAAGAAAAACAACATAAAACAGCTCGTGTTGGAGAGGAGAACATGATGAGGGGACATTTGGGAAACAAGCTTCATTCTGGAGCAGTGAAATACTGATGCAGATCTAATCAGAAAAGGAAAAGGACAACAAATCTTGTTATAGGTGTGATGGACTTAGTAAAAGAAGTGCAGAAATTTGCAAGAGATCTCTATTATTGAACACAAATGAAGAGTGTGCACTGTTAAAACAAGAAAGGCATAGAATGACAAACAAATTTGAGCTGAGACGGATTTATTTTGCATTTTAATCCTTCATTTCCTCTATTTTTTCCCTTTTTGGTTCCCTGTTCCTTGTTTTTGTTCATTACACATATCATTTAAAAGAGAACTCCAATAAAAATCAACAGCAAAGTGACAGTCAACAGAAACACCGCAAAAGTAGTAAACCCAAGAAGGCTCTATATGCTGCAGATATCCAGTTTACCACTTTTTATTTACGTCTTTCAATAGGATAATGCTTGATTTCTATCACTAATTTACTTCATATCATTAGCAAGTCTGCAAGTGAATCATCTACAATGCAATGAGTGTGTGCTTGGTGTAGTACACACTAATAATTTGTTAGAAATCCATTTCCAAGTTACCCCTGGCCATCATAATGGTCTGTGAAAATTCCTGGAATTAAAAATTGTACCACATCGTATTTCTTTCTTTCTTTCTTTCTTTTTCCATGAAAACCATAATAGATTAATGTGAATAACTTTAAAAGACCTTTTGGGTTCTCTTGCAACACAAGTCTCTGGAAAAGCATTGTAACAGATTTACCTCTAAGTGTCATGATATATTAGAACTGAATATATATTGCTTTTGAACTTCAACATTGTCTTTATTTGCAAGGACAATAGCAAATTTTCAATTTTCTAATCACCATTAGGGCTTTAAAATCGAATAGTTAGTTTAATTACTTGGCAGAAAATAGTATGTAACAGCACAGACAATCTAAAATTCATCAGGTTGGCAAATGTTTCTAAGGAGTCATCATCCTAGTGGTGGCAGATTTGCATTTGTACTTTCAAGTAATCTAGTCTTCTGATTTAATGAGTTTGGAGACTATTATGATTGAATTTCAAAAAACATGACATTACTGAACTTCGTTGTGGATTCAAGAGCAATATTACTAGTTCTTTCTGTGCACTCTTTATTCATTTACCTTCCTTTTTTCTGGTGGGTCGCAGGGTAGTGATTTATATATATATATATATATATATGTTATGAACTATAAATCAGTCTAATCTCATAAGTTACTTGTACAAGTGTATTTTCGGTCTCCTGTCCTCCTATCATCTGCAAAATAGCCCATTCAGTGGGAATACATTTTCCAGAAAGATTCTGCTTTTACTTTACATAAATTAGTGTGTTCTTTTAAATGTGTTTGAGCTTTAAACTCTTCAGGTATTTCGTGTTATGTGGCTTTCAAAGTGCTTCATTATGCAATAGGACAAACCTTGACCTTTTTTCTAAAATGTAATGGCTGTAATGCCGTTCAATTAAACTCAAATATCTCAACCTGATACCCTTGGACTGGCTGTACGCATTCATATAAATGTAGGATTCATCCAAGGGTAACTCAAATCCCTACTTACCTTTCCATTAGAGTCAATGACATGAATTCTCAACTCTTCACCATTCTTATTCCGCACCGGTTGATCTTTGTTTTGGAAAGACTTTTGCTTGTCATTCCCAACTAATTGTCTATGCTTTCAGAAGTTTAGCTTAGGGTTAGCAGTGATTGCTCCATTCAACTTTTTCACTCGTTTTCATTGTTGAAAAAACTTCACGTCTGCTTACTAGCTTAAATTCTAATCTTTAAAAAGGCCTATCCCCTTCCAATAAATCAATTGAAAATTTTCAAATATATAAGTCTATCTCTCAGTTCCCTCAATTACAAGTGTTGCATTTTATCACTTGGGTGGATTTTATTAGTTCAACTCAAAGTCATGCTTCTTGTGCATCCTCCGAGGGTTGCAATTATTAACTAACCACTCTTACCACCAAAATATTTATTCTTGAATTTAATGAAATCTCAACCTTCATTACAAAGTAGACTCATTAGTAATGCATGTGACAAGTAAGAGACATCTTTTTATAAAGTTCGTGTGAAAACTATCAATGTAATGTTTATGTGATCCCAATACTAGGAAACTCGAAAGGTTTGAAATCTGATCCACACAGGTCTCTCGAAGCTTAAATAAACAAAAGTGTTAGGCAGTGATCTTGTTCAACTGCATATAGAAGCACCACAATATTACTGATGGAAGAAAATAAAATCATATTAAATGCGCCTAGAAAACGATATTAGCATATTCGCTGACAATTAAAAAAAAATTAAATGCAACTGGGAATTAAGAAAAGTGTAACTAGTACAACATATATATAAATATCCACAATGAGACAGGCACATTTAAGAAGACAGAGAGGACACAGTTACCTGGAACTGAGGCAAATTTAAGGGCCTCCTCAATCATCCGAACCTGAGCAGCACGATGATCAGATAGGGAGACGGTGGAGTTAGGGTCATAGAACCCATGATGCATATGGTCTCCCCAGATGTCCTCCCATATTCCCGATGACTCGTCATAGAACTCTGCAATTCCTCTTTTCAGCTTTTCTACATTTGTCTTTGTTTCTAAATCCACATCCACCCCACCTAATGATGCCTGTCTAACTGCCATCTCTTTCTTGTTTAGAATTCGAGCCCCTGGAGTTGATGATGATGTGAACAATTCTAAGTTGAAATGGTTGGCATTTTAGTCATAGACAAGTAAACTTATGATCTATAAGGAGTCATAACCTTATCAATAACACACAGAAAGAGAACAATTTTCTGCAGAACTACTTAACAGCGCAATGCAAATTGATGAGGAAGTTAATTTGAGCTCTACTCGTCAAGTATTAACATGTTTCTTGAAAGTCCTTCATCTCTAGCTTGCAATTCATAATAATTTTCCTTCCACAAGACAAATTTAGTCAACAAATGACTTTTCCTGGATTAAAAAGCTGACTGAAAATGAACTTGGATGCTATTAAATTCCATGGTTAATCAATCTATCACAAGGGTCATAAAATTCATTATTGGTTTAGTGATATCACTAAGAGCAATATCAAGAATAAGGAAATGAGAAGCAGAATATACCCCCACTTAATCCTGCTAGAAGCTCATACCTGACACTTCCTAACAAATTAACTCAGGAATTCACATAGAAAGTGAAATCCACAGCATTCCTGAAAGGAAGCATGAAAGATCCTGTAAAATATAACTTATGCTTAAGGAAATCCAGTTGTGCTCATCTATGTTGTAAATTAAATGCGTCTACTTGTAGCAAACCAAAATTCATCCAAGGGGCTATGTGTGTTATTTCAAGAAACAGATACTTTTCTCCTTGCCATCGGGGAGAAGAAAGTCCGACAAGGTGAAAAAACCAAATCTGGGGAGAAGGAAGGGCACCTTGAACAGAGGTAGTGAAACGATCCCGTGGCAATGGACAGCCAGTGAAAAGTGTGATGTGCTTCCTTGTCAGTCCACCTAATACATTTGAAGCTGCAAAACTGTATAGTGTGACCCAAAATCAAGTTGTTGTTGTATTTCCTTGCAAGAACATATGTTCACATGCATAGCATAGATATGTTACTGTCAGAATAGTGATAGACACATGAGGTCGTGGAAGATGAAGTAAGCAAACACGAGCCACGTGTTTAACCACCGAAACAACAGCCACCATCTTTTGTCCTACTAAAATCATAGTTTTGCAATTCAGGGCTTTTTTCTATTAAATGTGAAACTTTTATTGATAAGACCAAGAAAATTACACTTCAGCGTATGCCCTCACTACATGAATACAAAACTCTAAAACTATACATTATATACAAACTAACAGCCAAGCCAGTATCTCTTAGCAGAACTGATTTGGAGATATGCCTCACTCCATTGCAAGTTTGCAATTTTCTCTATTACTTGGAAAATTTCCCCAAGACTATACAACACATTTTACCGCATAGTAATAGTTTGCATAATTCCTAAAGGTGACACCTGCTTTGCTTGAAACAACTTGTCATTCCTGGCCCACCGCAGTTCATAAACGGTGACAGCAAGGACCAGTCTTCTGAGTAGAATCCCAAAGCATTCGCTTTCCAATGTTTGGTCAACCATCTAATCTCTTCTTCCCAACTATAATTACCCCTATATTATTGTAGCTAAAATTCTCTATTTTCTTTCTGACAGGAGAATATAAGTATTCTTGTAGATAATATATTAGTAAGGACATTTTTGTAAATTGTTTGTTAGATTTTTACTCCTATAAATACTAGTTGGTCATTTATAATACAGTGATTAGATATTTTCCCTCCAAGATACCTATTCTCATGGTATCAAAGTTAAAGTCCTAGGGTTAGGGTTAAACATCTAGTAAGAGTCTTGTTCACGCGATATTGTTCATTGCATTACTGTTCACGCGAATGTTCAAAAAAGTACTTCACAGATACTGTTCATCGAGTACTACTGTTCACGAGGCACTGTTCACACGCACTGTTCATCTCGAGTTTTGACCCTTTTTTTACTTTGAAATGTTATTTGCTATGACTGAAAGTTTTGCTCGTGCGGTTACCACTGACCAAGTTGAATCAAGTTCTTCAGCACATGGGTCCCAGAAGACTTTTATTATATCCGAAAAAGAATATGTTAAATTCTTACAGTACCAAGTTACAAATCACGCATCTTTTCCCTCTGCTTCTTTAGCACAAAGAGGTAATGACTCATGGATTATTGACTCTGGTGGTAATTTAGTGTCGTGGAAGAGTAAAAAGCAAACAGTTGTCTTCAGATCAAGTGCAGAATCTGAATACCGTGCTATGACTCACACTGTGTGTGAGTTGGTTTGGTTGAAGAGCATGTTACTTGAAATTGGATTTGAGCATAAACAGCCTATGAATTTAGTGTATGATAATCAGGCGGCTGTTCATATTGCGTTTAATCCAGTGTTTCATGAAAGGACAAAACATATTGAAGTTGATTGTTATTTCATTCGAGAGAAATTGCTTGACGGAATTATCAAGACATCTCATGTACCGTCTGTAGATCAATTGGCTGATTTGTTTACCAAGAGTTTAGGCGGTTCTAGGGTGAAATACATTTGTAACAAGTTGAGTGCTTATGATATATATGCTCCAACTTGAGGGGGAGTGTTAGGAGAATATAAGTATTCTTGTAGATAATAAATTAGTAAGGGTATTTTTGTAAATAGTTTGTTAGGTTTTTACTCCTATAAATATTAGTTGGTCACTCATAATACAATGACTAGATATTTTCCCTCCAAGATACCTGTTCTCACTTTTGTCAGAAAAAACAAAGCATGAACAAGATTCTAGTTTGCTAACAGGTTTTCGCTCTTCTGAACAAAACAAGGAACTCAAGTATGTTGGCTGAACATTATTGTGGTAAACAATTCAACAGCTTATAGCAAAAGATCATTACTAATTCTCCCACATTGAAACCAATCATAGTCAGAACTGTTCGGTATGGTAAGTGATAACATATCAAAATTGAGTTCACATTTCTACAGGTGGGATAGAGAATGCTTAGCCCATCCAGAATGCTGTCATCTAGACTAAAACCTATAAATTCCGTAACCAAGGAAACAGTTAGCCATCTTCCAGGTTCAGTATAGTTAATTAACCTTCACTTTACTTTCCGCCACCCCCTCCCTCCCAACCCATGAATTTGATAAGTCATGCATGAAAAGTAGCAGCAATCACTCCAGGTATTAAACAGTCAAGTGCAGGATCTATTATTGCATTGATAAATATCCAAACTTTTGATTTCCAAATTTTTTGATGGCCATTCAAATAAAAATAGACTATTGAAGTGCAAAATAATCTTCCTATCAAACCAGTATAAGCTAAATACACATTATTTACTCGGGCAGCATTTAATAACAGTTCACCAGTCCATTCACTGACCATCTCACTTTTTAGTTCTGAGTGGATGAATTCAATCAAACTTTTAGCAAGAAATTTATAACATGAAGACAAATAAAAGGTACAATTGAGCCCAATGATACAGCCATTAAAAACTGGTTGACACAAGAAGAGAGTCATAAGCACACTCATTGAATTTTACACATAAGCATAGAAAAGACTATTACTTAACCAATTTATCAGGTAACCATCAGAAAGCTTCTCTATCTGTTGCGTTTAAGACCCATGAAATCAAGCAGACTCATTGGAAACACGCGCGTGCACACGCGCACACACACATACATATATATATATATACGCGCGCGCGTGTGGAGCAAATCCGCCATCAATGCCTCAAGGATCGACATTCTTAACATGCATTCATCGACCCATGCTTTTTTGATAGTATTGATGTTACATGTCATGCTGAATTTCTCTAACGATGACTTCAATTTTGTTAATGCAGGCTTGCGATTCTTGGATACAGATGGACCTTGTCCATACACATAGTATATCCCAATATGAAGCTGGCGAAATTGCACACACCCCAGACAAATTAAAACGATATATAGTTTCTCATTTAATTCAGACATGAACAAGCTCAAATCAAAAATTTAATATGCATATGGGAAAGCTAGAATTAATTGACAGTAAACAAGAAAAACCCATAAAGAAGAATGTATACAAGTTGAGAGATTGAAAAGGCATCAGATGAACCTTGAAACACTCCGAAAAGAAGAATGTATACAACCAATTGTCATCCCTTGAGAAGCTTCTCCAGATGCTTGGAGACCGGATTCGTATTAGTATTATCTACTCTCTCTCTCACTCGAAGAATTGAATATGAACTGAAAAGGAAGGAAGGAAGGAAGGAAAGAATAATGACTAACCTGTATGAATGAATCGAGTGCTGAGTTGTTTTGTAGATAAGATTTGAAGCATAGATCCGAAGAAGCAGAATAGAATATCCAAACAAACAAAAAAGAAGAGAGCCGCCTTTTGCTGGCTCTTATAAATATGACGCTGCCGCTCCCGTCACCCGAAAAATAGTACTACTACTAGCATGGGCACTGTACTTGGATAAACTTAATCCGCAGTTTAAGGGGGCATGCAGACTCACACTCGAATAAAACCTACTCTTTGATGAGTGGGATATGGCTAGGGGTGTAATTGAGCTCTACTCTCTAGCCAAAAGAAAAAAACTCTCAAGTTAAGTTTGATCACAATTTTATTTTGCATTAATCGACTTCGAATTCGAATCTGTGCTTGTCAAGCCTAATCGAGTTTATTTTGAGCTCGATCGAGTCTAATCAAATGTGAGATATATATAAATGTATATTTTATATTATTTTAAACAAGTGACCAAATATAGATATTTCACACGAATAAATAAAAAACTAAAACAAAAACATATATATATATACCTTCATCATTGTTGTTATGATGAAAACAACTTTCTGGATTGCAATTTAACTTTTTATGTTGTCTATTCTTCCCCAAGCTACTGCAATCACATCTCCATAAAAATATAAATTACAAATGTTTCCATTTTCTAGTTAAAATATCATGGAAAAAGTAGTAAGTGGTGAAAGGGGAAAAAAAAAAGTGTAAATTTATCTTTCAAAAAGTACCCAAAAAAAAAAAAACTTCTTTTTTTTCTTTTTCTTTTTCCATTGCAAAGAGTGCTGGTTTAGTTTTAGGTTTTATACATTACAGCATAATACATTTTCAAAATATTTTTTTTAAATTGTCTTAAATAATATAAGATCCTACTACATTTGTACTCTTATTTTAAGAAAATCACTCAAGAGTGATTCCCACTTACCTCCCTTGATGATTCGAACCCGTGACATTTGATGACTCGAATCCGTGATCTATCAATTACAGGTGAAGCGTCTCACCAACGACTACTAGACTGTACCACATAAGCACTTACCACTCAGCAACGCAGAAAATCAATCACCATTTACGTACCATGCAAGCACTTACCATTAATCAACTATACACTTTTGAATACTCTTTCTTTCGAGTTTTGATACTAGTTGGCATAAGCTCCTCATAAGAATTTGCCATAATTCAATATGTAGTTTCCCATTACTAATTCAACATTATAAAGGAATGACTTATTGATATTGTGTGTATTTACCAGCAATGACAATAATATAAATGGAAAATAATGCATCTCAAATTCGTGGTTCTTTACGAGGATACATTTTTAGTCTAAAATTCATGATTGTCATTTCAGTGAAAATGTGTATTCTCACTAAAACTCTACAACAAGCCAAAGAGGAAAGTAGCCCCTTTGAATTGTAGTAGTCCTTGCTAGGCTCAAAGGTAAAAGACAGGAATTAATTCAACCACCATTTGTAGATTTCAGAAACACAAAACGAAAGAACCAAGCCCATCAGCGCCAACATTGAAGCACCAAGGCGCCACCACCACTTTCCTGCTCCTTGCAGACCGACGCAGCCTTCATGAACATCGAAGATTCAATGGTGACTACCTCAAAAAATTATCTTTGTTCACCAAGAAGAAAACATGCGAGCTACCACCAGCCATGCACGGTTGGAGTTGCCCGGACAACCGTTGCGTTAAAATTGCTGCAATAACAGTACCAAATTTCAAGGTTGTAGCTGTGTTAAAGATGAGGCACCTATAATTGTCATTTCATTGCAAAAAAATGTGGCATTTGGGCTCAGTCAGGGGGGCAAGCACCTCTATGGTTTACACAATCCTTTTGGTCGCGATGTCATGCCAGAAGTGTTGTTTAGACTAGAACACCTTTTCTCCAAAATACTCCTTTGGAAAGTTCTTGTATCAGGTAATCCACGACTGCTTTGGAAAGTTCTTGCACAAATATAGTCAGCAGATGCACCAGCAACATTCATGAATACACGATGTGAGTTGTAACAGCTTCTACTTTCTCTGCTTGGGCTTCCAGCAATCTGCTCAACTTTTTCTTCCTCTTCTACAGAAACAACTTCAACACAAATATAGTCAGCAGATGCACCAGCAACATTCATGAATACACGATGGAGTTGCAACAGCTTCTACTTTCTCTACTTGGGCTTCCAGCATTCTGCTCAACTTCTTCTCCCTCTTCTACAGAAACAACTTCAACTGGAGGAGGTTTGCTACCCAGTGAGACCGATTCCGTGGCACTTTGTTGGTCTCGTATTATCAGAGTTCCTGCTTCACATGTTAAGGCAATTCCCAAAAGATCCAAGGGGACTTCGGTGGTCAGGGAAATTACAATCTCTAATGAAACTGAAGATCTACTTTTGTGAGAAGATTTCATTTAGCAAATGCCTTCCGTATAGAGAGCGAGCGTAGACAACTCCTCTGGCAACCGTTTGTCTCTTTAATGCTAAGGGAACCTTCAATTTTCTTAACTTTTGGAGGAAGAACAGCCAAGAGAGGCATTCGTCATAATGGATCGAATAAGGCAATTGTGAGGAGAGGTACTCTCTCTCTCCCAATTATTTGTACCTCAAACATCATCAAACTCAATCTTGCCAAGCTGTAAAATGAATAACATTCTTAGCCAATTACAGATCAGCTTTTTGGTCTGCAATCTTCCAATAAATCAGATCTTTCACCTGTAATATATACATTGGCGTAAAAATGATGATTGGCCACCATTTTAATGTCATACACCTAAACATTCAAGATATCGAGAATCCAGCCCTAATATTTAATGTTTTAATGATTACCAAGCTGTACTATCTGCACTATCAAATGTACAACCCAAAAAGAGAATCTCAGAGACAACTATACGAGCAACCTCTCATATAAATTTGCCTTTTCCTCTTACCTATTGAAAGCAAAAGAAGGCCAACATGTTTACTCTTTCAAGCTAAGCCGAGCATTTTGTACTTTAACTGATAGCTTTAGCTTTTGATCTTCCATGTCTCTCAGAACGGCGAGAAGATTTGCACGATAAACTTCACATCGCTGATTTGTGGATTGCAACTCAGCTGTTAGTTCCCTGATTTTCTTCTCCTTCTCAACCTGAAAGCAAAGATGTTATAGTTGCAATTAGACAACAACTTACTAAGCTCTCAATGGCTTCAGAATCCAAGCTAATAATTTAAATGCATTATCAGATTATTTTATCCATTCAGGGGTGAGAATAATCTATTCACTGGCTTTCAATTACATTGATATCAAACCCCTGAAAAGTTTGTGGCTTGCAAGAAAATAATAAGAGCACGGTATACCCATTTTCATAGATAATCGAGAGGCTGACTATCATTTTGCGAACAAAATTTCCATAAGAAATAAATACAACCCTGATACGTACGGTTAACCAATTGAAATGAAGATCTTATACTTCAGAACTTGCGCTAATGGAGTTGAATATGCCTTCACTGAACAAGTTCAAAAATGACACCACAACAAACTTACCCTTTCATCACCAAATACAATTGGTTAACTTTTTCATGTATCTGAATTCATATAAATCCTTGTAGCAAACATCTTCATCTGACAGGCACTCAAAGTTTTTTACAATGACAATTAGTAATCAAGAGGCTTGCCTTAGAATCTCTTTAATTCAAAATTGACATCAATGTGACAATTATTCAATTGCTGAAGCCAATGGCATCCAACTTAGCCACAAAGAAATCTTCTAAAAGGTGTACGAAGTGTCTGATACATCCTCCCAGAATAAGTTGTTCATTTGTAAATACACTAGCACAGCTGACCTGGCACCTAATTGAAGTAAAATTGAGATCTTTAACAATCTTCAATCGATCTTGCCTTACCTAAAATTCCCCTTGTAACTAAGGCAATTATAACGAAAATTTGCAGCCAAAGCTGAACCACTGGCTGATGGACACTTAATAACAATCTCATATCACCTTCTAGATCAATAACTCACGGTACACCACAATTCATTGATAGTTCTCTTGGCTGGAGACTTAAATTTCAAAAGTCATAATCCTTAACCCGATTAATACACATTGATTTAGTGGCTAAGAAGAATCTTCCACATATACAAGGCTATAACAATACATATGTTCTATATGATTCAATCTTGCAGCAGCTAGTATTGCCATGATGGAATACATCCAAAAAGGCATTGTTCATGGAAGTCACCAATCTAGTCACACAAAAATTGCGTTCACATACTCTGTTTACCAATTAAAACATCAATATCAGTACTTAAATACTCCAGTTACAAAACAAAATACAAAATGTGAATTCAAGATCCATAAGCTCCAGGTTACATCATCGACTCAGAAAAACAGCAAACTCACATCATTTCCCAAGCCACAACTATACGAGTATACACTTATACTATGTATCTATATGTGCATAAAACTATATACATTCTCTACGTTACATGCTTAAATATTGATAAAACATTTTAAAAAGAAAGATTGGAAACTCACATCAAGTGAACAACTCTTCTTCCCCATGATTTTACTCTCTTGGCCCTATCTCTTTGTCTAACAACAAGGAAACTGGAGGGAGGGAGGGGGAAAGAAGAGGAAGTGTGGGGAGAGATGGCTATTTATAGAGAGGTTTGGGCTATAGGATTAAGACAAATGGCATAACAATCTTTACACTTGTTTAAAACCACCATTAGTTCTCCATGCAGCCCATTGTTTTGAGGAGACATTGTATCTGGTTTCTCTCTATCTCTCTCTCTCTCTTCTTTTTTTTTTTTTTTTCCTCAAAGGTAGATCAGCTTTTAGGGTCTGGGCCATAAGTAAATTATTTAACTTTTGGGCTGCACTTAACATTCTAGTCGCCCCAATAACATAAACCCAACACCTAGGAACAGAATTATATTCTTCATATATTCATTATTCTAGTAAAACAATTCATGGTTTTGCTAATAAAATAGAGTAAATTTAGACAAAACATGTAAAGTAATCTTTTTTTTCACAATATAAATACAAGTAACATACTCAAGTTAGAGAAGTGAAGTTAGTGTCACTCAATTTAGGGGGGGCATTGGAGCAGAACCATTTTAAAGTACTAATGAAGGCATTAAACATGACCTTTGTTCTCAAAGCTAGAAGAAAAATGATCAAAATCTTGAAAGAAAATCCTTTTTGTACAAAAATGAA